AACTTTATCTAGACGGGAGAAAAAGATGGGAGATGACATGAAGCCAAAAGGAAACAAAAATAATACAAACAACGGTCCGCCAGGATAAACGAGGAATTCCGACGTGTGATGGCTTCTAGGGTAAAATCCACCAGTGTACTATCGATAAAGATCTACAAATCCGAATTTATTGTCAATTCTATGTTCGCTAACCCAGACACTAAAATACCCTAACCCCCGTCTCTAGTGTAGTTAGAGTCTACCCACAGGTCCGACGTCTCCGTTCAGAACCTGATATTAAGAGAGCATTTAGGTCAAGTCCTTAAGGGCTACCCGAGGTGCATCACGTCTCTGTTTCCACAACCCGAGCTATGTTTTCCTAAAATCAAACGAGAAATCCTCTCTCGAGTTCATCCCCATTTAGAATCAATTCAACTGTTGGCCAAACAATCGAAAGCATTTAATACAGGAAAACATAAACAGAATCAAAGAACGACAAATAGATCACAGATCTGGAAATCAAAATCAATATATACAAGGTTTCATTTCCCTAAAAGAAAATGCTCAGTTCATTACAAACATAGCATCAAAATGAAGAACACGATAAATCATAAACTAAACGTAAAAAAAAACTTATGAAAAACCCGAGTCGAAACCCTCGTCGAAGCTTCCCGCGAAGAACTGGCGAGAACCGAAGAGAAAACCGAAGAAGAAGTCGAGAGATGGTCGAGAGATTGAAAAATGAAAAAGTGACCTTCTATTTATAGTGAAAAATCAAAGAAAAATATCTAGTCTCGATTTCTGTGCCCAGATCGCGATCTGGGCTTCTTGGATCGCGATCTGGCAACCTCGAAAACTGCCCACCGCCTTCCCAGATCGCGATCCAGGAAGTGCGGATCGCGATCTGCCCCAACTTTTCGCTGCTACTGGAATTTGCCACCAGATCGCGATCCGGTGATGCTGGATCGCGATCTGGCCTCTGCATCAACTTCAAACACTGTTTTGACCCTTTTTCAGCCCGAATTCGACAATTGTGCATTTCACAAAAGTTGTAGCCCTTGAAGTTAGCTTTCTAAATCCACTTGAATCAGCCCAATCTGAGGTCGTATGCAAAAGTTATGCTTGAAATACCAAACACTGCAACAATCCGCGAGAATGCACTTTTGCACGTGTTTGGTTTGATTCTCGGCTTCGCTTCCAAAATCGTCTCGAATCGGCAAAAATAGCTTATCTTTACCTAAAATATAAATAAAACAAAAACAACATAATATATACAAATATAGCCGAAAACTCGGACAAACGAAGACCAAAACTCGAAGAATTGATAAGTGAAAATCATGCAAAATGAACACTTATCAGTTTTCTCTTAATAAGATTAATGGAGGGGTGCTTATGGGTATATATAAGCAAGTAGGGCAATGGTTTTTTTGTAATTATATATATAAGGAAGTATTTGGATTTCCTTATTAGAATTGGACATCTCTATTTCATATATATACAAGGAAGGAAGGAAGGAATTAATTAATGTTGTTTGGAGTTGGATTCTACTATTTTTACTTCCTAATTCGAATCTACTTCTTCTACGTCCATTCTGAACTATATGTAATTATGGAATATTTCCTATGTCGAATCCACTTAATTCTCATTCAAATTGTACGAAATATTTGAAAATATTAAATCAAGGAGTTTTTTTGAGAAAATCCCCTCATTATTTCTTTTAATGGAGAGAGGCCCAAATTATTTCTCTCCATTTGAGAAAAGTCCATATCCATTTTCAGCCATTATATATTCCAGCTTTGCTCCCACCCGCCACATCATCACTGTGTCACGCGCTCAACGTTGTTTTTTTTTTTTTTTTTTTTTTTTTTCTTTTTTTTTTCCTTTTTTCCATTTTTTACCGGGTTTTTTTTTTTTTTTTTCTGTATCAGTTTCCTTAATCGACTATGGAGCATAGTCGACTAGCCTTAATCGACTATGCTTCATAGTCGATTAAGGAAATTCTTTAATTTTTTAATTGTTTTTTATTTATTTTTTCTATATCAGGTATATTAATCAATTATGATGAAGCATAGTCGATTAAGAATCTACTACTAAACATAATAAATCACAATTGCAAAAAAAATGCAAAATAAACTATATTTTACAAAATACAAAAAATATACAAATATTATAATTGATTTATACAATTGGAATCAATAAACAAAAAAATCAAAAAAGAAAAAAAAATTGGAGCCGATCAACCTCAATACTAGAAAATCGCCTATTAGCTAAGGCACCATCCATCGCTAAACAATGTAAATCCGTAGCTAACACGTGATTAGCGACCTCAATCGACTACCAGGGCATAGTCGATTAGCTTAATCGACTATTGAATATGTACATAGTCGATTAAGGTTCCACCTTGCACGAATTTCTCTACACGCGCCGTCATCCACCCTATCCACCAAAAAACCCTAGATATGTCTCCCCATCGTCACCACAACGTCTCCACACCACACATCTGTATCCCACGCCGTCGCAAAAGATTATTATTTACCAATAAAATAGACAAAAATCATAGTTGATCTATAATTGCTTTAATGCAATGGAAGGCAAGGTCAAGGCAGCAGGTAACACTAGCTGGTTTTCGAACCAGACAAAAGCAACTGAGGCTGAAATTGGTCAGAGTGATGGATGGTTGTTCGACCATGGGAAACCCGCCACAAATATTTCAAATGGGAAGGCTCATTCTCGTTCAATCTAGAACGAGAAAAGGGCTGTGTCCAATTCTGATGGCTGCAGCGGTTCTTCACCCAATATGTTGGCCAATTCGTCAGAGCATTATTTAACGATGCCGGTCGAATTCTGATCGAGAAGAGAATAAGAAGATCGAGAAGAAAAAGAAGAGAGAGAGAGAGAGAGAGAGAGAGAGAGAGAGAGAGAGAGAGAGAGAGGGAAGGGAAAAAGAAAGGAAAAAAGAAGGGGAAAAAAAAAAGAGAAAGAGAGAGAGAGAGAGAGAGAGAGAGAGAGAGAGAGAGAGAGAGAGAGAGAGAGAGAGAGAGAGAGAGAGAGAGAGAGAGAGAGAGAGAGAGAGAGAGAGAGAAGAGAGAATAGAGCAAAAGAAAAAAAAGAAAAAAAAAAAGAGAAAGAGAGAGAAGAAAGAACGAGACGAGAGAAGAGAGAAGAGAGAATAGAGCAGAGAGAAGAGAAGCGGCGTAAGATGACATGTTAAAATTTAGGGTTAGGAGTAAGGGTATAATTGAGATATTACCTTTATTAATTATCCAGGCTAATAATAAAAGGGGTTTTCTCTAATTATTTTTTGGAGGAAGATTTTCCTTACCTACATTTACTAGATGAGGGGGTTATTGCTAATATTCCCTTAAATCAATTTAATTGAGTAAACTACAAAAAGTACTAGCAAACGGCCCATGTGATAAATAAATTAGCAAAAATCCCCCTCTGAAATTATTTATATATCACACTGAGCTCATTATTCATTTGAGTGTTGACTTGATATTAAAAGACACAAATACCCCTGATGCTTTACAATTAATAAATTCTTATACTTTTTTAAACATTTTAGTTAATTTATTTTATTTATATCTTACTTAGATAATTTATTGTTCTATTTGTATATATTTTAAATTATCCCTACATCAAAAGAAAACTTAAATTCCATTGTTATGTATTTTTTTTATTTTGTATTTAGAAAAACATATACTTAATTTGATTACCAAAATTTTAATAATTTTTCAATTTAATTGTTTACTATTTTTTTAATAATATTTTAATTTCTAAACAATCAAATTAAAAAGAATATATATATATATATATATATATATATATATATATATATATATATATATGTATATTTAGGGTCAATTTTGTCATTTCACATCTAAAAACAAACTACCAGTCGCGCATCCCGCGAGTGGACCACACGAAAGTCAATCATAGGAGGTTCTGTCTTTGACTAAATTTCACATGAGGTTTTTGGTAGTTTATTTATTACATGGGTTTTTACTATTTAAATATTATTTAGAGATTACTTTTTGAAGTTGTCCAATTTACTTCCTTTTTTCTTATAATGATTTGGCATTCTTTGAGTATCTTTCTTATAGTCTATAATTGGGTTTAGTAAATCATTCGTAATTTCACAAATATGCATTGTCTTTAGTGATCAGTTTTCAATAATCCGATTTTACGACACGCGTAATTATTATGTAAAAATAGGTTGTATAGTATGACACAATAATTTATTATGTACCATAGTGAATTTTGTTGTGTTAGATAGTAATATAGCAGATTAATGGGCTAAATAGTAATATAATTAATATTACCGTCAAAACACTATAGTATTAGTGTTTTTACAAAGGCAAAAAAATGATTCGTAAAAAAATATCAAAAAAGAAAAAAAAAAGTTAACGCTGCCATTGACCGCCAAACAATGGCTGCGAAAAAAAAAATCAACACCGCCGGTCAACAGCGTGACGAAAGAAATGTTTTCAAAAAGAAAAATGTCAATGTCGGAGACCGACGGTCAACGACGACAACATTCAAAAATGGGTTATGGGTCGAAATTGAATAATTGGTTAAAGTGGAGTTAAATAAATGAGATAATTGGAGTATATTAAAATATAAAGTGTATTTTAGTATTTTATACACCTCTGAACTTTGTCTGAACTTTTTCGTAAAAGATTTTACTGATGGACCTAAATATGAATAAGTTGCCACCAACACATACAAATACCAAAGTATCAAAATTTACAAGTTACTAATTGAATTATTGTTGATAAGGTTTTTTTTTTTAAGAAATAAGAAATACATCTTTGCCCATGTTTCTAGGGTACAATAATAAGTAATCAACAAGGAGAGTTACACCACAAAATAGGAACATTTCATGTGAATCAAGAAGCTTCTCTTTTGCACAATCTTTTATTGTCTTCAAACTCCAACAAAACAAATCAAGAAAAGCAAATTGCACCAAGGAAAGTGGAAAGAAACCATAAAATTAACACTATCCGGTAAATTTTTAATGTTCATGGCGGTGTTGAGAAGTCATCCTCCAAGTAAGCTACCAAGAGAGGCTCTTTAGACTGCGAGGCTGAGCGGACAGACGGGAACTTATCTCCGGCAGCACATTTCAGATGGGCATCAAATCCACAAGATTTGCACCTGTAAAGTCATTGTCGCGAACCAACGCTCAAGCATATACCACATGAAAATGTATTGTCTGGATACGGGGATGATTCAGATGTTAGATTGAGCTTGTGCATCGTGTGCGATTCGTGCGTGATGGATAAAGGCAACATGGCACATAAAGATATGCAAATCAAAGTTGCAACGTTTGCAATGGTAGGAGAATCCTTTCCCCGTTTCGCCGCAGGCATCGCAAACTAAGCGGTACGCAGGCTTGATCATGAGGGTTAAATCGTGCTTCTTGTGTAAAGGGTGGCTTAATTTCTTGCGCATTTCGAAGCAGCTCTGGTGGAGGAAATAGTTGCATTTCGAAGCAGCTCTTGTGTAAAGGGTGGCTCGGTCACCTGTTTATATAAACAGCCGGTGTACGATCCGAGAAGACACACCAATACTGGATTTAAACCCTAACTTTGGGCCCATATTCAATTTAATTTTCATAATTTTTTTCATAAAAAAGAGTTCAATAAATGCAATAAATGTCACCACATATAAGAACAATAAATTGAAACAAATATTTTTTGATAAGAGAGTTTCTGATACCAATTAATCTTTTCTATGTCTTTAATTTACTTGATCCTTCGGTATTTATAATTTTCATATAAAATATAAGAGTCTTTACAAATAAGCCCATCATTGGGTACTTATTCATAAAGAAATTCAGACAATAAACTCTTTTACAAAAAAGTCCACACATAGTCCTGATTTTTGTAAAAGACTAAAATAGCCCCTCATACATTAATATGCTTCAATTTCATCCTTAATTTAATTTAACCTCAATTTGACCCCAAATTTCACAAGTTATTCAATTTTGACCCAAAACACATTTTTATGGACAAATTCGTCCGTCACCGCCGTTTTTTTTTTCCAGGTTTTTTCGCCGGTTTCCGGCGTTGACCGGCGGTAAACGTCGGTCTCCGGCGTTGACTTTTTCTTCTCTTTTTTCTCCTGATTTTTCAACCACCGGTTTCCTGCGTTGACCAGCTGTCAACATTGGTCTCCGACGTTGACTTTTTCTTTTTTGTTTTTCCTTTTTTTCTTCTGTAACATTTTTTTTCGTGTAAACAACAATATTGCTGTGATTGACATTAATATGAACTATATTACTGTCAAACACAGTAAAATTAACTATACTACAGTTTAACACATTAATATTGCTATATTAATCTCTAGCACAATAATATTAACACAACAAAACTCATTATTATTGTGTAATAGAGTAATATAACTATGTTGATTGTTCAACAAATGTAAACATAATAAAAAGCCAAAAGAATTAATATTACTGTGAGTGACAGTAATGTTATTATAACAACAATAATATTACAATAATATACAGTAATATTATTACGTTACTCCGTGAATAACTCAAACAAACAAAAAAATCCAGACAAAATAATAATATTGATGTGGTTGACAACAATATTACTATAACAACAGTAATATTACCGTCAACCACATGAATATTATTGTGTTTACAGTAATATTACAATAATAGACAGTAATATTATTATGTTACTCTGTGAATAATTCAAACAACACAAAAAACACAAAAAAAATAATAATATTGATGTTGCTGACAGTAATATTATTGTGTTTACAGTTATTTTACTGTCAACGACAGTAAAATAATTATGTTAACTTGTCAACAAATCAAACAAAATAACAAAAAATAATAATATTACGTTAATTTACCGTCAACGGCAGAACAATTATATAAATGTACTGTCAACGGCAGTACAATTACGTTAATTAACTGTCATTGACAGTATAATTACGTTAATTTACTGTCAGTGATAGCACAATTACGGTGAAAGGTATATGAGCGATTAAAGATCTCCAAAGGTACCAAATAGGCCACAGTACTGCAAAAAACAGACTTCTACAAAAATTGAAGAGAAACAAATAAATTCGGACGATCTTTGTTAGTTTAACATCCACACGAAAACACGTTACGCTCCTTGGAGTCCTTCAGGAGTAGATCTTGTAGCAACTGCGCTATATCCGCGTCAAATCCACGACGAGTCTGCATCTAACAACAACAAAAATAAAAATCCAAGGTGTCAATTAAAAAAAAAAATAGATTACGAAATACGAAATACATGTGGGATAAAAGTTGTTGTCGAACTTGAGATTCATCCGCAACCACTGCGGTCGGAAGCTGCTGAACGCGATTTTTCATTTGGCTTTGCACGCTTTGAGATGCTGCGAAACAATGCATGCAGTAAATGCATGTGACAATAAAAAAGAGCAATTGAAAACAAATTTCATTCATATATATATATATATATATATATATATATATATATATATATATATATATATATATATATATATATATATATATATATATATATATGCGAGGTGGATATTGTTAAGTATATATTTTTATACTTTATCGTACCTTTTTATTTGAGCTTTTGGTGTGATTTAACGATAATTGGTGGTTAAAAAGTTGATTTATTGTATATTAGGTATAAATTGAAGAATTTGAAAAGTTTGAGGTCAAAACTGCAAATTTGGAGAAAATATGGGCCAAAAGTGAAATAATCAAAAATATGCTGAAATTGGTTGAAAACAGGCCCGCACGGCCGTGCCAAAATTATCCTATTTTTGGCACGGCCGTGCCAAATGCTGAATTTGGGCAGAAGGTTCGGCGATTCTCGCGCGGCCGTGCGAGAATTGCACTGATTTTCGCGCGGCCGTGCCAAGTCACGCTGGAGGCAATTTTGGACTTTTAAACACACAAGGAAACCTAGAATCATCTACCAAGTTGGGACATCTATTTAAGCCCAAACCAAGCACGAATCAAGGGGGACTTTTGACACAACCTTGGAGCGAGAGGAGCGAGAGAACGAAGAATCGAAGACGGAGAATTGACAACTCTTCATCACAATTCTTCTTTTATCTATCTTTTCTTAATCTATTCTTTTTATGTTTTTATTATGTTTTTCGTAGAGAACATGCGTAGCTAAGTTTTTAATCTAGGATTTTATTGGAACCCTATGTGGGGATCGTGAACCCGTTTTCTTGAGATTATGCAATTATGATTTTATGATTATTTCTTATACTTGTTATGATTGTTAGTGCATGAACTTGATCAATTTATGTGCTTTATCTGTGATTATTGGGATTGACTCGACAGAGCTATTTTGATAATTAGACGGTAAGTATAAGAGCCTTCGAGTAGTTTTCACCGGATGAGTGTGTCAATTGCATGTGGTGTCGTAGACATACAGATATCACCTTAGGTAGCCATTTACGAGACTTGTTAGTTAATGCTTTATTCATAATTTGTTTGCATAGACATATAGTGAACCGTTTATGAATAATAGACTCATAATACACGCGACAGCGGGTTATGAGTGAATTAGTGTCTCGGGTTAATAATCATGAATCATATATTTCATAATTGAGGGGTTTTGGGTGAGCAATTCTTGCATAAGGGGAAGATAAAATCCTAGATCCGTTTTATATTGATATTTTCTCGTGATTAATTGCTTTCTTAATTAGTTTAATTTATTTAGTTAATTAATTTGACAACCCTGCGTAGGCTGGATAAAAATCACAATTGTTAGGATTTGGTACTTAGGATTAAATAATTTGCGTATTCCCTGTGGGATCGACATCCGACTCTCACGAGTCTACTTTACTACTTGTTTGCGATACGTATACTTGCGTGTTGGTATTTAGCACCCAACAAGTTTTTGGCGCCGTTGTCGGGGAATACGGCTATATTGTCTATTTATTCTAATATTAAATTTAAGCAATTTTTCTTACTTCAGCCATTTTATTTATTTTATTTTATTATTTTATTTGTTTTAGGTACTTTATATACGACAATGGAAGAAGAAAATAATCGTAGGGGCGATGACCAAGGGCGCCTACCGAATGCGGCGGGGGAAATCGTCAATGAGCAAGAGCAACACCAGCTAATTAATCCACCACCTCGTCAACGAGCATTGCATGAGTACACCGTTCCAACACTCAATGGGTTTCAATCGAGCATCCAACAGCCCCCCATTGAAGCCAACAATTTCGAAATTCGAGCGGGACTCCTTACTATGCTCCAAAACAATGGGTTGTTCAGCGGATTAGCTCACGAAGATCCACATCTCCACTTGGTCAATTTTCTCGAGACGTGCGACTCGCACAAGATGAACGGAGTATCGCCCGAAGCACTGCAACTCCGCCTGTTCAAGCACTCTTTACAAGGAGCAGCCCGAGAATGGTTACAAACTCGCGCACCGCACTCCATCTCGTCTTGGTCCCAATTAGCACAAATCTTCATGAACACCTACAACTCCCCAACAAAAACTGAGAGAATCCGGAGAGAAATACAAAATTTCATACAAGAAGCCGGTGAAGCGCTATTCGAGACGTGGGAGCGGTTCAAACAATTAATTCGGAGATGCCCGAATCACGGACTACAAGAGTGGCGCCAACTGCAAATATTTTACGATGGACTGCAAGACAACTCGAGGACAGTGCTCGACTCTGCAGCTGGAGGTATGTTCATGAGTTTGACCTACGACGAAGCATACGAGCTCTTGGAACGAATCGCTAGGAATAAATACATGCGAGCATCGGACCGGTCGAATAGCGGAGCAGTCAAGACGGGGGGAATTTTGGAGTTAGACGGAGTCACTGCAATCACGGCCCAATTGGAGAAGCTATCGAAGCAAGTAGCGGCTTTGCAGACTCAGCAAGTCCACGCAGTCCAAGTTCCCGACCAGCGCGTAGAAGAAACGGAGTCTCTGAATTATGTGCATGACACCAACCGACAACAGAGGAACCCGTACTCCAACACTTATAATCCGGGATGGAAAGATCACCCCAACTTTGGATGGGGAGGAAATCAGCAAGGACAAAGGCCAGCTCCCGGATTCCAAAGTCCGCCTCAAGCTCCACCCCAAGAAGTTGACCTCGTTGATATCTTAGCAAAATTCATGACGTCGACTCAAGCATCCATTCGGAACCTTGAGACACAAATGGGTCAACTTGCAACCCAACTAAATGAGAGGCCGTCGGGAGCACTGCCGTCGAATACGGAAGATCCTCGAAAGAGCAACATCGAGCAGTGCAATGCAGTGAGTTTGCGAAATGGGAGGCAATTAGAGGAAGTTCCTAAAAAGTCCGTTGCACCACCGCCTATTGTAGAGGAGCCCAAGGAAAAAACCGAGGTCGGGCCAAGCAACACAAAGATCACAGTAAGTGAACCTACTCCCAAGGTACCTTTCCCTCAACGTTTTCAAAACTCTAAGCTTGATATGCAATTTCAGTTATTTTTGGATTATCTTAAAAAGTTGCATGTTAATATTCCTTTTGTTGAGGCACTTAAGCATATGCCGAATTGGGTTAAGTTTATAAAGGAACTTGTATCGAAAAAGATGAGGCTTCCGGAGTGTGCAGCAATCATAGACCTCAATGAGCAAAGTAGTGCTATCCTTGCAAATAAAATTCCACCGAAGCTTAGAGATCCGGGCAGTTGTACCATTCCATGCACAATAGGTACTAGGTATTTTGGGCGGGCGTTGTGTGATCAAGGGGCGAGCGTAAATTTAATGCCTTTATTAATTTATGAGAAATTGAATTTAGGAGAAATTAAGCCCACTTCCGTGACCTTGCAGCTAGCCGATAGATCTTTTACTCACCCTTTAGGTATAGTGGAGGATGTATTGGTCAAGGTAGATAAGTTTATACTCCCGGCCGATTTTCTAGTACTAGACATAGAGGAAGATGAAAATATTCCCCTTATCTTAGGACGCCCCTTCTTAGCAACCGGTAGGTCAATTATTGATGTAGGAAAGAGAGAGCTAAGAATGAGTGTGGGGGAAGAAACAGTGATCTTCAAGGTGTACCGGGTGGATGAAAAGCCTATTACGGCTAATGGATGTTATCTTCTTGATGAGGTAAGTGATTCTAAACTTTTTCCTGTTAAATTACATGATTTAAATTTTTTTGTGGATACTAATGTGCATGTAGGAGAACAAAAGAAAAAGGTTGAGTTGGTTACAACACCTACTCAAAACACCGTGATAAAAGACGATGATGGCACGCCTCATGACATCAAGAAGAATAAATTAAAGGGCATTCCTAAGCGAACCAGTCGAAAGAAGAATCGGATCAACCCATTTATTCAAGACTTTCTCCAAAAGGAAGTTAGGAGATGGGTTCAAAAGCTAAGGAATTGAAGAGAAGGAACAAAGTCTGACTGAAGACTATAAACTTAGCGCTTCTCGGGAGGCAACCCGAGATTTTCGTTTTTTTTTATTTATGTTTCTTGTTTTATTTTATTTGTTTATTTTATAAGCATGCAAGCTAATTAAATAAGCAATTTTTTTTATTTTCAGGGGTCAAAGTGCAATTTTGCACTTCACACGGCCGCACCAAAAAAGGCTTGAATCCAGCACGGCCGTGTGGAAAATCGGAGAGGCTACTGCCCGGAATTCAAGTTTCGCACGGCCGTGCGGAAAACAGTTTAAAATCTCATACGGCCGTGCGAACCTCAACTGAAGCATAATAAAGGCGAGGGTGGAAGAGCAGCCCGGACATGGCCAAAACGACTTATTCAGGTGTATTCTATCCTTAAACTTCGTGTTAATTACATTGAGGGCAATGTAAATTTTAAGTTTGGGGGTGGATAATTACTTGTTTATGACCTTTAATTTTTTTAGTTTGCATGCCTTAGGATTTTTTTTTATTATTTTAGTTGTTTTAGTTTATTTATTGCTTTTAAAAAAAAAAATTGCTTGAGATAAATGCTTCGATGAATCATGATGATGAAAGATGGTCAAAACTGAAGAATTTGGAGAAGTTTGAGGTCAAAACTGCAAATTTGGAGAAAATATGGGCCAAAAGTGAAATAATCAAAAATATGCTGAAATTGGTTGAAAACAGGCCCGCACGGCCGTGCCAAAATTATCCTATTTTTGGCACGGCCGTGCCAAATGCTGAATTTGGGCAGAAGGTTCGGCGATTCTCGCGCGGCCGTGCGAGAATTGCACTGATTTTCGCGCGGCCGTGCCAAGTCACGCTGGAGGCAATTTTGGACTTTTAAACACACAAGGAAACCTAGAATCATCTACCAAGTTGGGACATCTATTTAAGCCCAAACCAAGCACGAATCAAGGGGGACTTTTGACACAACCTTGGAGCGAGAGGAGCGAGAGAACGAAGAATCGAAGACGGAGAATTGACAACTCTTCATCACAATTCTTCTTTTATCTATCTTTTCTTAATCTATTCTTTTTATGTTTTTATTATGTTTTTCGTAGAGAACATGCGTAGCTAAGTTTTTAATCTAGGATTTTATTGGAACCCTATGTGGGGATCGTGAACCCGTTTTCTTGAGATTATGCAATTATGATTTTATGATTATTTCTTATACTTGTTATGATTGTTAGTGCATGAACTTGATCAATTTATGTGCTTTATCTGTGATTATTGGGATTGACTCGACAGAGCTATTTTGATAATTAGACGGTAAGTATAAGAGCCTTCGAGTAGTTTTCACCGGATGAGTGTGTCAATTGCATGTGGTGTCGTAGACATACAGATATCACCTTAGGTAGCCATTTACGAGACTTGTTAGTTAATGCTTTATTCATAATTTGTTTGCATAGACATATAGTGAACCGTTTATGAATAATAGACTCATAATACACGCGACAGCGGGTTATGAGTGAATTAGTGTCTCGGGTTAATAATCATGAATCATATATTTCATAATTGAGGGGTTTTGGGTGAGCAATTCTTGCATAGGGGGAAGATAAAATCCTAGATCCGTTTTATATTGATATTTTCTCGTGATTAATTGTTTTCTTAATTAGTTTAATTTATTTAGTTAATTAATTTGACAACCCTGCGTAGGCTGGATAAAAATCACAATTGTTAGGATTTGGTACTTAGGATTAAATAATTTGCGTATTCCCTGTGGGATCGACATCCGACTCTCACGAGTCTACTTTACTACTTGTTTGCGATACGTACACTTGCGTGTTGGTATTTAGCACCCAACACGCAATCTCATCAATCAATCTCATCACGTGTTTTAGAACGTCAATGCCGTACTACTTATTACTCGTAAATTCGATTAAACACTATTCTCGCAAAGGGTTTAGTCATATTACATATTGTTTTTCTCTAAAAACAAAGGGAAGTAGAAACATTTTGTAATTTTAATATAATGTATAATATCAGCTCCAAATATTCTTTACCAGGTTCTTGGGGGTTTTCGCTATTTCTTGCAGCATTAGACCACTGACGAGAATATGCCGAAGAATCCCGGGATTTTACTTCAATTGTCAGGATTTTCGCACTTATCTTCCTCAAGTAATTCGACTGCAAGAGTACGGTGTGGAAGGAAAAGTTCAAGGCAAATTTATATATATATATATATATATATATATATATATATATATATATATATATATATATATATATATATATATATGTGAAGGAGAAACGATCACGAGTATACCTGACTTGTTGCTTCAGTGTACGACTTCGCCTCCAACATAACAGCTAGTCGTTTAAGTTCGTCTTCTCCAGAGAAAGGAAGAAACCTCTTGAGATACTCCATTCTTAAGTGTTAAAGAATATATGCAGCATTGAATTAAAAGTCACCTGTTAAAACCATGGTTATCGGATCGTAAAAATATCTCGTATCGTTTTGCTCCACGTCTCGTATTGTATCGTTATCGTATCGTATCGTATCGTAAGATATTTAATCAACTATTAAAATAGTAAAAAATATATATCTACATTATAAACATATTATAAATATTAATATAACTACTTATTTCAAAATAGGTATAAATTCAAGTTACAACATCATATTATAAAATACACAAAAATCATATATGTTCATCAAATAACATCATCTAAAAGGGTGTTTGGCTAGGCTTATAAGATGTTAAAACGAACTTATAAAATGTTTAAGAGCTATGTTTAAGAGCTATTCCAGTGTGTTAGGTAATTTTTTTCAAAAGATCTTAAAAAATCAAAATATTATATGCTACTAGAGAGCAAATAAGATTTTTTGTTAAAGTATCTTTGCCCCACCTATTTATTTAAGATCTTATAATGAGTAAAATAGCTTGTAAGATCACTATCCAAACACTTGAAAAAAATAATTTTAAAAGTAAGACGTAACAACTTATCAACTCTTAAAACAACTTATCAGATGTAAATAAGCTTAGCCAAATTCTCCCTAAGTTCAAATCCGAATACCTAATTTCTAAAATATTCGATATCCCATAATTTTGAATATCAGTGTCACTTTTAAATCGTCCTCATCTACCAATTTTAAACGATTGCATTCATCATCATCAATCGCAAAATCCAGCAAAAAAACGCCTCGAATTGGTCTTGAATCGCAAGAATCTATAGCAATTGAATTAGGGTTGTAATATTATGAGGATTGGTGAAGAAAATGAAGAGAAAAGTGTGAATTAGGGTTGGGATATTGAAGAAATCTGTTCTAAACCTTTTTTCGGAGCAGTTGACTGCATTTCTTGTTTTTTTTCTTCGTTTTTTTCATTTTTTTAAATATCGAAAATATCGTATCGTATTGTGATACAGCGATACGATACGATATCTCGCGATATTTAACGGTATTTATCAATAGGCGATACATAACCCGAGTTGTATCGTTTTGATTGGAACCATACCGTATCGCGATATATATCGCGGTATATCGCGAGATTAACTACCATGGTTAAAACATGTAATCTTACGGACAGGGCCGGTTATGAGGGGAGGTGAAGTAGGCGGTCGCCTAGGGCCCCCGGATTTTTTCAAAAATTTAGGGCCCCCAAATTTGTTTATACCCTTTATATATGAACATTTATTGAAAAACATATATATTATATATATAATTATTGAGAACCTTAATTCATAAATAGATATAAATCCACGATTCTTATTTGTTTATATAATTCCTCTAATTAGGGGCCCCTAATTATTAAATTTATAATGTATTAGTTACTTATTTTTATATATATTCACTTGTTTTAATGCTACTTCATGCAAATTATCCTTAAAAAAAATCGGGGGCGCTGCCCCCGAACCCCCTAAAACTTGAACCTTACTATATCACAAATTTCTACTCTTGCCACTGGCTATGTACCTTACAAAATCGAGTTAACATCGAGTTTATCACCTTTTTTGAAAAAAAAAAAAAGTTTTATTGTATATTGTAGAAGGCCCCATTTTTTAATCGTCTTCAAATCTCGTCTAGGGCCCCCAAAATCTCAGGAACGGCCCTGCTTACGGAAGCAGGGAAAGATGATAGTAGAGTACGTACGTAATCTTCGTTCATTCTTCGATCAAGACAAGTAAATACTTTAGGGATGCTTTCAAACGATTCTTCTAATTTAGAATATTATTATTAACAAGTAAAAGTATAATCATTTATCGAAAACAAGTACTAAAATTGATGTAATCAAATATCAAGTTTATGACAAAAAAGACAAGGACAGTGTATAGTAGAGACGACGAGACAACATTTTTATTCTACGCGAAATAACTACCATTGCTACAGAATCTTTTTTATTTTGTTTTTTTTAAATCTGTTGAGCAATCTTCATCGACTCAAAGACAGATTCTGAGGTAATGCAGTGGCTATAAACGAAACGAATATCATTTGCATCTCTTGTACACAACAAACTCGTAACACTAACAAAATTAAGTGTACCTAATTTCTTCAGGCTAAAGAAGCAAAATCGAATTGCGGAATAACAGTTCTCTCAAACTCATATACTACAGTAGAACATCGATAAATAAATTAATAACCTCGATTAAATAATAAATCCTTCCGGTCACAACTAGGTGGGAGCGTGCTAAATTATTAACTCGATAATTTAATGTTTCGCTTAATTAATAGAATTTCCCTAGTCGCGACTGTATTAATTTATAGAGGTTTAACTGTATAACTATAATATCGTTATTTGGCAGCTTCAGAAATAAGTTCGTGGTTTCGATTTTATAACTAATAGAAAACAATTCAACATTAACAGAATAAAAATTAAATGCTCAAAACTAGCACGTGTTGTAATAAGTAAAATTAAAAAAAAAAAAAATTGAAAAAAAAGTAAGGGGAGAAATCAAGGAATTTACATCTTGTTTACAATCCTCTGTCTAGAATTCGCTGATAGATGATTCCTCCAATCACTGCCTTCTGTTCCCGCAGCCGCCGCCGCAACGCCGCCCATAACCTGGCCTGGAATGTGAGCCTGTCCTTGGGCAGCACGCCGCCGATCATCGCCATCCATTTTTACTTGGTTAAAAGAATCTGTAAATATCAAACAACTAAATAATCACGCCGTAGAATCAAAAGAAATTATATAAAAAAACAAGTAAGAAGATTTTCATATGAGGGAATGGAGATCGCCGATGAAATTAGGGTGAAATGTGTTTCTTACACGTCCTGATAAGAGGAAATCTTCGTAATTGAATTCAACGAATTAGGAAAAAACTAAGTCTAATAATAAATAGAAAGAAGGCGAAGCCAAATTAAATCAATTAAATCTAGCTTGATTTTCGTGCGGTTTTGAGGGGCAGATATCCTACGGAACCTATTCAAATTTTTATTTTGTGGGGCCCAATAACAAACAAACAAAAAAAGGAAAGAAAAAAAAACCACTTTCTTGCCATCATGAGGTTTAGTCAAATAGATTATCTCATAATAGCCCAATGTTAGGCCCCTTAGTAGGTGACATCGGCTATGGTTCGAGTGTGGTCGGGCTGTAGCCAATAACGGCACCAAGTGATGTATGACATAAGGCTGGCATGTATCGGCCAATGGATGGTGGAGTATTGGGTTTGCATTGAGGGTGGTAATTGTCCGAAAAAATAAGGAACGGTGTGCTTGGTTCAAGTGGGAACACTGATTGGGAGTGTTTGGCAAGTGGCATGGGGAAGTCTCGACGGTGCTTGGAGCTTGGCGCGGGTGCCATCGATTTTTTTATATTGATTACATAAAAATTGCTAAAATAAATGAATATTTACCGTATTTAAACATGTCTGTGTGTTTGATTTCCGCAGAATAATCTTTGAACGTTTATGTTTGGCTTGAAAGGCTTTGTTGTTTGTACTTTTGAGAAAAGAAGATCGAGCAAAAGCTGAGTGGTACGATTTATTGTGGAAACGAGGCCGCACGAATGTGAAAACTCTTGTGCAAAGAAACCCTTGTGACACCCAGGACACAATAACTTAATTCTTAAAATAACAATTTACTAATAACAAAGACAATCCTATTTTTTATGTCAAAACTACTCATAATAACATTATAATAGCTCAAATTATAATTTAAAACTATATTTCACATTAATGTTTTGTTAACCCAAAATTTACCAGTTGACCCCAATGTTGATCGAGTCGCCGTTATTGATCGGTGTTGACTTTTTTAAAAAAAAATTGTTTAATGTTTTTTTTCTATATGTGTTTCTCTTTTCACGGCAATGCTATTGTATTGACCGGTCAATACAGTAACATTAATATATTTTTTTACTGTTTTTTCTTTGCGACAATTATGTTGCGGTCACTTGTAAAATAAGGTTGTTATGTTGTTGACTTGTTGTCAATAGTAAAATTGCGTTATTATGTTGTGGTCAATGTAAAATTGCGCTATCATATTGTGGTAAGTAGTAAAATAATGCTATTATGTTGAGGTCAACAATAACACAGTGTTATTATGCATTCATTGTCAACAAAGATTTTAGTTTTGACTATTTTGCAAATTAAGTTGCCTTCTATGGGCGGCGTATAAGAGATGTGCCCTGATACGAGGTAACAAAATCGCTGATTTTGTCAAGGGAAAAAAAAAACGAGGTGCTCACTTCGGACCTTAATGGAGAGTGCCCCCGCCCCCACCTCTCAAAAGACGATCGGATATTCAAATAATATTAGGAGGACTCCGCGGCTAAAGAAGACATATCGGGGAAATAAAAAATGGAGGAAAAGTATACCAAATCACATACCCGGCTGCCATCGAATTTGGACCATAAGACATTCTAGAGGCTATTGGAGCCTACAATGATCCCTTATTAGTAACCATCTGTTAGGATAATAGACTAGAAGTCTCGCTTTTGTCTATTTAAACGATCAAGTTTTAATAAAGTCTATTTATAATTTAGTCATTCATGAGATTAACAGTGAATTCTTCATGTCGATTTTACGACAAAACAAATGCTGCAGACAAATGCTTTCCTTTCAGATATTTTTTTTTTTTTAGGTATTGTCATATAATAATGTTTTGGAAATATAAAAAAAATACGTGCATTGCATGGATAAAGTTACTAGTTTCCATATGTTACCATAATAAATTCACTTAGTGATTCAACAAATTTTGAAAATTAGGAAGGTAATAGAATACTACAAAATCTGATCCGAACATGTTTTTGCAAATTGGAAACTTAAGAAATTCAAAACTAAATCGGATCCGATTGTGCAAATTAATTAAATAGTTACCAAACTTAGTTCATAATTTTTTGCTATATAAACACCACCCCTTATAACAAACAATGTATCCTAACTACACAGCAGTATGGCTAGCGTTAAGATTTTGCCATTGTTCCTCGTCGTTCTTTTCGTTTTGTTAGCAGGTTCATATTTTCTCTCT